ATTAGAAGAACATGGTGATGTGGTCTGTGTGGCCCTCCGGATGAGAGGGACAGCGCCACCTGCTGGTGGGGGGACCGTCCATTATTAAGTGCCAGAAGAGGCATGTAGAGCAGAGGGTAGAAAGGGCGGCTTGTGCTTCTAACACGGCCCTCAGACAGGTGCCTTCCATCTGGGCAGGGAGCAGCAGGAGCGGGCACTGAGGAGGGTCCTGAGGAGGGTCCTGAGGAGGGTCCTGAGGAGGGTCCTGAGGAGGGTCCTGAAGACGCCAGCTTGGATACCCAGATAACGCAAGAGGCAGGAGTGGGTGAGGGTATGAGTCAGGAAGAGGGAGATAAGGCTGTGAGAACTGAAAGTGTGTGTGTGTGTGTGTATATATATATATACACACACTCCATTTAGCCATGTCACTCATCAACTTTAACTGGATCGTAACAAAATTGGGGGCTCGTCCTTTCCTTCTTTCCCTTTCGTGCTTGTCTGGAAAGTGTGTGTGTGTGTGGGGGGGGGTGGGGGTGGGGGGGTAAGGAGGATACAGGCAGAGAACCACTTCTTGTGATCTTGAGGTCCATTAGCTCGCCTGATTGGACATGAAAGCTCTGTAGCTGTGTGCAAATGGGCATCATTCACTGGGCTGCATCACCGAGGCCCGGACTCTGCCTGTTTCGCTTAATATAACATTCACACAGCTCTACACAGGTTTAGTCTATATTTTATCTAGAATATAAAATTCAATGTAAATTTTCCGACCTCAGGGTTTCAACCGAGAGAGAGATAAAGGTTAGAAGTGTGAGAGGAAAATTATAGACTGACAAATTAGACACCCAACCACAAACACATGTGGGTGTTTGCCATGCGCTTTGATGGCTGTCAGATTAATGCAGACTGTGTAGGACTTGTTGCTTTGTAAACACCACCATCCCATAATATACCACTGAAGGACGTCAGTTATGTGACGAATTCACACATTTATGTTTAAAATGCACATTATTAATAATTGAGTCAGATTAAACCATCTAAAAACAATTACATGGCCAAATCTGAAAGTCGTTCCACTGTCAATAACAAGAAATATTCCTTAAAAATCGTTTTATTTATATAAGCAATATTAAAGTGCAGGCATAAGGACATGGGGGGGGGGGGGTTGTGATGACCTTGTTCCACGGGCCGTGACCCCAACACTGACCTATGCTGTGCTGGCCTGTCACAGCCAGTGACAACAACAGTCACAAGGAGCTGGGGAAGCTTCCTGCAGACTCCACACTCCCCCTAAAATGCTCCTGAGAGATGCAGATTATTTTTACCCAGATCCATCTAGCGCTGGATTGGAGTGACTTTACAATCAATTTTCATGATGACGACGAGCTGCATTGACCATGCTGAGGTATGAGATGATTAAGGCGCAAGGTTTTAACGTTTGGGTGAGCACTAAAGCCAGTTGAGGCCTACGCAGATCTCTCAGTGAAGAGCTGAGGCTGGCTGAGGCCTATGCAGACCTCTTGGTGAAGCATTGAGGCTGGTTGAGGCCTACACAGACGTTTGGGTGAGTACCAAGGCTGGCTGAGGCCTACACAGACCTCTTGGTGAGCACCAAGGCTGGCTGAGGCCTACACAGACCTTTCGGTGAGCACTAAGGCCGGCTGAGGCCTACACAGACATCTTGGTAGCACTAAGACTGACTGAGGCCTATGCAGGCCTCTCTGTGAGCACTTAGTCTGGCTCAGGCCTACACAGACCTTTCGGTGAGCACTGAGGCCAGCTGAGGCCTACATAGACATCTTGGTGAACACTAAGGCTGGTTGAAGCCTACGCAGACCTCTCAGTGAATCGCTGAGGCCGGCTGAGACCTACGCAGACCTTGCCTGGAAAGATGACAGCTGGTTGGAGTCACTTTTGGTGTTGCTTCTCTTTCACTCTAAAGGATGATTTAATATACCAGCAAGCAGCCATATTCTCCTCCTCTTTATCAGTGTTTGTCACAGCAACATGCTGTTTTTTACTGATTGTAAAGATGAGGTTGGAGCCTTTGGGTTGAGCACACGTACCCACACAGTCCTGCCATACTAACAGACCCCTGGGGCAGGTGAGTGGCAAACCAGCTGAATGTGCTCATTAACTATGAGTCTCTCCTTCCTGGTGGACCTTCAGCGAGAAGTTGTAAGCCCTTTCTCGCCAGGAGATAGATACCTGGCACTCTGGCCTACAAAGCGCCCTACAGTGATTTTGAGTAAAGCTTCTACTCTTCATATCTTAATCTTTCAAGGTTCTCTTTACAGTACATACACTGATAATGCTGGTCTATTCAGTCTTTTCAGGTGATTAGAATTAAATTAATTTCCACGTGAGATAGCAAGCCATGATTCATTCAGTTAAGGACATCTAGGATTATTGATGGTCTCACTTTACATCTAGATGAGAAGTTCTTTTGTCTGCCTTTAGGGGGCACTGTATAAATGATAATCGGTCCAACGAGGGTGCAATGGCAGCTAAGTGAAGGTGTCAGTGCCCTAAATCCTGCCTGGGCTCCGGGTCTCTCCTTCAGCAGCAAAATACACTGTTTGCTTTATGCCTGTGACAGTGTGGACGCCACACGGGGGAGGGGGGTGTTTGGCGGCGCTGACCTTATGCCCCCTGCTGCTGGGACAGGCTCCAAGGCTCCAGATATCTGCGAGCGTTTGAAACGTCCTCCTAAACTTATCTAAACTTCATGTATAATAAACATGTTTTAAATGCTTCTTTTAGGTATTGTCCTTTTCAAATCTATATAAATGCAAATGTGATTAAAGAAGAATAGCAACAGGATAAAATTTTAGACGCTGCTCACTGGTGAGTTATTTTTAGAACGGGTCCGCGGGCGACTCATGTGATCCTTGGGGGCATCCTGGCATCCCGCGGGCACCATGTTGGTGACTCCTGGTTTAGGGGAATGGGAGTTTGCCTGGGCTCTGCACCCTAGGTGTGGATGCTTGAGAAAATGTTACCAAACTGAACGCCGAGTTAGAGGTGAAGAAATCCAACGGCTTCCCAATACGCCACGATCCCAAATCATAGGAGCCTTTGTGAAGAACGCTGTACCACAACATGGCTCTGTGTTAATCCATACAGCGTCCGGGGCAGCTGGAACCTCTCCAAGGCGTCGACATAAGGAGCAAAGTCTTACCCATGGCGATACCATCCAACAGTGGTGTAGTTACATAACAAACCTTTCAGCACAGCTGAAGGTCCGTCTTGTGAATGTAATGATATTTAGTGCAATAAACTGTGTCAAATACTGAAAATGGAGAAATAACCATTTCTATCACGTTTTACATGCTGAAGCTGTCTTATTGGAGTTATAATGTATCGCAACGCACGCATGTAAAGCACCTTGGGGCGAAAGGCACTATATAAACATAAGCTGAAAGTCTGACTTTCTGCACGGTTGTCATCTGTGGCTGTTTATTTGGTACAATCTGAAATGGATTACGGTTAACGTTTCCCATTTTTAAGTTGGAGTCATATTTAAGAGATTCTGCGTGATAAAGGGCCTTGAGTTTTGGTTCATTTTCAGGAGTATCTCAGGAATGGCACTCTCTGTGCCAGACCTCTGTCTTTGCCCATCCGCTTAATCCAGCTCTGTAATGGATGCCTTCCCCATGCCATGCAGTTTTATTTGGAGAGCGATACGTGTGATGTACCCGTCCGAATGAGGTAGGACGTCCACAGCAGCTCAGCTGTCCTGTCCTGCACATCCTCAGGTGATGGTCCTGGTCCCCACCTAGGGACACCGCATATTACAGGCGATTTCTTTGCGACATTCCTTTGCCACTGTGTCTAATTTATCAATCGAGGATCCTGTCCTGTTCTTTTCTGTAGGGAATTAGTGGGATATCTGACATGAGGTGGTAGGTTATGTCAGCTGTACTTCCTCTCCTGGGGAGCACATTCCTCAGAATGCATGTGTACTTATATACTGCTAATTTAATCACAAACGGAAATGACAGTGGGGGCTGACTGGCAGGGGGTTTCCTTATTTATTTTATCACTTTCAGGATGACTGCTGTAAAAAACATGAGGCATGGATGATTTCCTGTCCTTTCCATAACCCTTGGTGGTGGTATCCCCTGAGCGCCTCTGAATACTCTGCTCTAAAATGCAGCCTCTTTGTTCTACATGTGTGGTGTCTCTGTCCACACCGTTGGTCAGTCTGTAGCTCCAGTCTGCTAGAGTAGGCAGTATCTTGTTCATGACGTTCATGCTTTGAGCCTCCTTTTTGCGGCTCTGGGCTGCCTACTCAGTGACGCAGTGTCTCTTTCAGAATCTGCCCCTATTGCCTTCCAGTCCTTTTCACCTTGTGATTCCCAGGTATCTTCTCTAATAGAAGCTCATGTGATGGTTGCAGTCCCAAATGTTTCTTACCACTACTATGTCCTCCTATTCACATCTGGAAGATGCAGGAAAAGCTAGAAAATCACCTCTGTCCCCCGTGCTACACCAAACTGCAGGTTCTAAATCCTGATCCTGGGATTACAATTAAATGTGATAACGTATAAGTCATAGACACTCATCAGCTGATGTGCCTGAATAACAAACTCAATGAAAGGCTAAAACATTTTTTTCCCCAAGAGCTGTCCATCACTCTGCCTGAAATAACAGTCATCCACATTCAGATCATCTAGCGTGGCACTTTAACCGTTTGTGACCCCGAAGGGAGCTCAGTGGGTGAGACAGCGGGACCCGCTGTGATTCAAGACAAACCACGACATAAATGTGTAAAACACAATCAGGGATTTGACTGAGTAACAAACAAAACCTGTGTTTACACGCTGATGCGTAAAAAAGAGCAGAGAAAATGAAGAAATCATCCATGCGAATATTACTGCAAAAAACAAAACAAAAGATAACTTCTGGTGAAGCAAAAGGAACAGATTTAATTTATAACAGCAGTTCTTGAGGGTTCATCAGTGGCTCATGAAATTAAAAAAAAAAAAGAGTAATTGATTTCTTCAAGGTTTGGTCTCTAAAGAAAGTAAGTTTAATTTAATCTGAACTGGCAACACTTTTGCATTTGTTCTTTTGGCAAAATGTTCCTGAATTTATTGAATTATACCAAACCCAAGACAGCAGGCATTCTTCATCTGAAATGACCCCCAAGCACATTTGAGTTCGGCAAGTTTCAGGATGAACTTTAGCTCCAAGATAGCTCTGATTTGCAGTCTCAGTTCTTGGCTTTCATGTGTGTGATGTTGTGTAGCCGACGAGTTGAAACCTGCAGAGGAGCCAAACATTTACCAAAAATTCCCGAGATGCTCTAAACTTGGATGAAAACTACTTAGGCACAGAGTCTTGCAATGTAGCAGCAACAGCACAAGGGGGAGGAACCATGGCTTTATATACAGCACAGGAAGAAGTGAGGGGGGCTCTGTAGTGAACTACAACTCCCAGGCAAACTGGGACCTGTAGTGAACTACAACTCCCAGGTAAACCTGGTACTGTAGTGAACTACAACTTCCAAGCAAACTTGGGATTGTACAGCTGGAGAAAGAGCATTGACACCATTAAATTTCAGAGATGATCTGTGACCGTTGAGCCCAGTCGGTCTCACGCAGGTGCTTTGCGCACTCGTACAAGACAAGCGTCTTCATGTGGTATTTGTACAGGTGCAGATCCCGCAGAGTCTTTAGGATGGAGAGGCATTTCTTCGTGCAGCCTCCCATCAGCAGCCTGTTTTCAGCTTCAATGACCTGCAGGACCCAGGCGTCTCCCAGCGGAGCTCTGTTTGCCGGTTAAAGGGAAAAGGGGAAAACCTCGTCACCAGATACCAAACAACTTTCATCACGGCCAACTACAGGAGACATCTATGAACCTTGCCGGCTCCATGTGAAGGAAAGCGGGCCCAGCCCATGTCAACGTTCACAACAGGAACATGTAAAACTGCGTTGGCGTCGACAAAGCTTGAACTCTCATAGTTACATAATGATGGCGTGGAAAAAAAGACACTTCAGAGCCACGTCTTCGAGAGTCGATCGGTTTATATGCAGCGACAAAAGTCTCTGATGTATCACTTCAATAAGGCTGATAATTAAATATGGAGGCTGGAAATGAAAGCGAATGGTTCCGGGCGCCATGATCCATACTCATAACTCACATCACCCCCATGTGACCAAGTTTATGCCCGAAACGAGATAGCAGTGCTCAGCATAGTTACCAGGGATGGAGATTCAATTACAAATGCACCAAAATGCATGCTTGTTCCTGGATGGCTTTAAACATTTTAGCCAGACTTGACACGAAACCTACAGCGTTTGTAGGACTGTGAGCACATTGCTTGCACTTAACCTGCTCAGTTTTACGTAACCGGATTCTTGTTACTGAAGCCTATTCCAGGCAGTATAACCATGAGGTATTCAGCCCCCAAAACTACTGCAGGTGCTTTGGACAAATGGCTGCACTCCCACCCCAAGTGTATCTCTCACCTGTATGCGTCTTATTGGGGAGCAAGAAGCAAAAAACCAAAGAACACCAAGGTATCAGTTCTCGACAAATAAAGCAACTTATCTCATTTGGAATGTAAATGCAGTGGTGGGCCTTTGACCTCCGATGTGAACATATTGACACACTGGATCATGAACAAGAACTTAATGTTCCAGCGAAGCGGGCACCAGTGACCCCCCCCCCAAGAGAGAATGTGTTTAATGAAGTCCACTAACAACACTGATCAGTGGAAAGTCCTGTAGGAACAAAGAGACCATCTGCAGCCCCAGGAATCAACTCCAGGGCTCGTGCAGAAATTTTGAATCAGTAGCTCTGAAATATTTCCTAACGTAGTAGCTTTCGAATGATGACTTACACTGTGACACCTTTCGGATGCGGCGAACAGGGTGGTCTATTTTTTACATAATGACCGTGTTTGGCCGTTGGAGCCATTTTGTACCCTAGGCTCCACCCACGGTTAACCGTTAATGGCACAAATCGGTCGATGCCCCCATTTCTGAACCATCGATTTCCCTTCCCACTTAAAACCTGTTTTCTGAGGACCACAACCCGGACGAGCGAGGCAGCAGAACCTTGTGAGTCTCACATTTAAAAATATCCATTCTCTGCCCTGAGCAGGGGCCAGGATACAGAGTAACATGGGGAGGGTCTGATGGCAAGAGGCCGGCCCGCGAGAGACCATGCCTCGGTTGGATATGCGCCTCCCCCATGCCTCCTGATGGACCTCATGTGCTCCTGCCGCGTCTCCTTCCTCTGTCGGCCGCGGCCGGCCTGTTCTCTGCCTCATTCTCCCTGCTTTCGTCACCCCTCCGCGGCACGGTTAGCGTAAACCCCTCCATCCCGTCTGCGGGATCCCGCCAGCCACTGCCATGCTCGCTGCTCCATTGTGGCCACACGTGCAGCGGCGCTCCGAACCGTGCCATTACGATGGAGAACAGGAGCAGATGATTAGCTCAGTTGTGCTAATGCGAGGAATAATGAAAATGGCGAAGAGTCTGTGTGCGAACCGGACGAAGAGAGCTGGCGCCTCTGTGCCGGGGGCTGTGCCAGGGGCTGTGCCGGGGGCTGTGCCAGGGGCTGTGCTGGGCCGTGCCGAGCAGCACCTCCCCCACAAGATGTGGCAAATGCCAGTCTGTACCTCGGGATTACATCACAGGCTAACCGACCCTCTTGTCTGACTGTGCTTCACACAAAAGGAGTTCAACTCAGGACATGGGGATCGGGGCACATCAGCTGCATCTGTGTGTGTGTGTGTGCGGGTGCATGTGTGTGTGTGAGTGTGTGCATGCACACACACGTACGTATGGGTGTGTCTGCTATCACAATGATCTGTTTTCATATCTGTGCCTACATGTGAAAATGAAGGCATTGGGGGGGGGGGGGGTAGGCGGGACTACAAAGACAGACCTCTGTGCTGTGCCTGAGAGCCAAAGTGCCATGAATATACTCTAATTTAAATACCAGTTTCCAGTGTTCGTGTTTCAGGATTTCATTACGCACACATACTCCAGCCTAGAAGTGCGGTATCTACATTACACAATGTTGCATGCAGCTAACAACATGTAATGTGTGTGTATATTAAAATAATACTATTAGCCTTGAATTTTTACTCGCAAACATAAAATGCCTATTATCTCCTAAACTGTACCGATGACCATGTTGAGCTGCAGGTTAACATTTCAAATGAAAACAAAATCCTTTTTTTTTTCCGACACCCAAAGTGAGCGACAGGGGTATTAGCATAAGAGAGATAAAGGGAATAGTAGATTATATTCAGCAGCTGGCCAGCGTTTATGTGACGTACAGATCTCTCTTTGTATCCCGTAAACCCGAGCCAGGGGGAAGTGAGAGAGCAGGCTGGACTGGGGCTGCATCGCCACGGGGAAATCAGTGCCGACGTGGAGAACTCACTGAGGCATCTGGGGGGGGGGGGGGGGGGGCTGCGGTGGCTGAGGACCAAGGAGGAGTTTGCAACAAATCAGTCAAACTGAAAAACATTTCATTGCCACTGGTTGGAGGGGCATTTATTCCCCAACCCCCCCGCACCAATCTCAGTTTGCTTAGTAATGTGTTTTAAAGCATATACTGTAATGTGTTTCAATGTCCCAACCACTTCATCTTTTTGCAAAATATCTATAATCTGTGCACAGCTAAAAATGAATAAACATAAAATACCCCCCAAAACATATAATAAACCTAACGGCTCATAGTGTGCAGAATAATCAGCATTAACAGTGTTTAAAATATTTCTCAAGACACCTCAACCATTCCATATGATTATTGAAGGGGCTGCTCTAAGCAAATAAGTGGAACATAAATAATGAATATGCATCACAGAGGTAATACATTTATGAATTACTGCTACCATTTTACCATAAAAAATCTCTAAGGAAAGATCAGTAAAGGGCATGATTAACCCATGAACAAGTTAATCTGTCATTTAATGTCTGTAAATTCTGATGCCAACCATCCTTAAAAAGAAATCCTCCAGGCTGGACACCAAAGTGCTGAGAGGAAAATTTATACAGCTTTTTTTTTTTCTTTTTTTGAGGGTCAGCCTTACGCGTGTTACTGGTATACCCCATAATTTGTGTTATTGGGTAATCGCCGCAGCTAAACATCTTTTAGAATTGCTGAAGTTCAGTTATTTAAAGTTCGGTCGGGGGTGGCGAAGCCTGTTAATCTCCTTTTATCCAAAGTGAATTTTAATGTTATTTTAGAAACAAGAATGTTCATCAGTGTTCATTAGTTAGATCCGTGTGCAAGAGGTACGATGGTGGGTATATTCCACGGCCACATTTAAGTGAACAAAATATAATCGATTGTATTATTTAATTTACCGGGAAAATCAAGCCGCCTAATCATTTGCCGTCTTCACTGCACGGAATGTCGGGCTGATCATTCTTAAGGGGAGTAAATCATTTCAGAAAAAATAGAAGGCACGCGAGACGAGAGAACACACCCCCTTTAAATCATATAATAGTGGAAATTAATTCAGATAAGGATATTTTTACACTCCTGGCTGTTGGATGGAAACAAATTACGTTTCTCTATTAATCACATACTTTGAAGTACAACATGAATTCCACGACCACCAGAACTCCGCGGCTTTCTGCTCTGATAACATCAACCCCACCAAAAACTAATATTTATACACTTAAACCGGCATGTTGGCCTGAAGCTTTGCTTATTTCTCCAGTCACTGAACACCTGCCGTGCCTCGGACAGGCTAACGACCCCTCTGCTGGGAGTCAGCGCTTAGTCTGACCCAAGGCGGCACATAAGGACCGTCTGTCTTCACACGATGAAAGATACTAGAGAAATGAAGTACCACATAATAAAAGATACCACCACTACTGCTGTTGCTAATAATAATAATAATAATAATAATAATAATGAATATAATAATAATAATTATTATATAATAATATATATTATTATATAATTCCTTAATTTTCCGATGGTATTCATTGACATTTCAGTAAATCTGTTTTAAATTTAAAAAGAAAAAGAAAAAAAGAAATCCGCCTGAGCAAAAGCGTGGGAATGTACTTGTGAGCACATAGCGCCGCAACGTTCACACAGGAGGTGAAAAAGGAAGCGATATCATGTTATCCTACCATTATACTCCGACGGTTTCTGTGTGTCGGCCGAGAGCACAATTACACAGCAGGAGGAGCAGGGGGCACGACTTAAGAGGCCTTATAATTTCAGCCGGATAATACTGCACTCTGTAACAGCTGGTCGCGGATTATGTAAACTTTAAAATATTTGGTGAATGACATAAAAAGGTCTTTTGTCTCTGGAGTAATTTTACAAAAATGTATTTTGAATAAGAATGAATCGGGGCTGGAATGAAGTAGTGGAGGCTCAGAGAGGCCATGTTCACGGAGCGAAATGACCATAGCTCTGGTGAAGGAATAATGGCAAGTGGCTGGGAAGTCCTGCAGAGGCGGCTTGACGGTCCGTCCGCGGTCTGGTTGACGATGCTTGATGGCATCAGTCAAAACCTGCAGATGGCTGGCCCTATAGCAATAAAACCCGGACAAGGCTACAGGTTCGTAAGACAACATTTCTGGACAGGCATCTATGCTGCTGAATTGGTTATGACTCACACCGGGGAAAATATCTTATTAAAAAAATGTAATAAGCGATTAACGCATGCAATCCATGCAAATGCACGCAAGCTTAAATTTAAATTACTATGCACCATATTAACCCGGCAACACGTCGCAGCTCTGACTGTGGACAGATTTCATCACCTACTCCTGCAGTTACCAAGCAACTCCTAAGGCGGCCTAGGAGAACAGAATGGTCAATCAAAAACGGATTTTTAATCTCTATTAATGAAATCAAAACCCCGGGCTACATTTTCACAGAAATACAGTGGCCGAGATGTCCATATAGTTTATTAGGATATACATCGAAGTAATTTGTTTTTTGCTTGTTTGTTTGTTTAAAGTAGGCCTACAACAAAGCCAATTTAACGGTTTTCGGAAAACAAAATCATAAAACACAATGATATTACCTAGAAATCTTCCAAACCGACGTCACAAACTAAAAGACTTTTACATTCCTGTGCAAGTAAAGGGAACTGAGAAAATGCGTTTGACTCACACTTTAATCTGTATGTGTGTCGGCTGCAATGTAAGGATGCGCTTCATTCTGTGCCCTTCATCGTAGACGCGGGGAAGCTGCAGCAGCTACGCTTCCTGTTTTGCATGAACTGCATGAACTGTTTTCATGTTCTCGCCCATGACCCACTTGCTTCACAGGAGTAATCTTTACACATGAGTAATCTGACAGACGTGTGAGTCTTCCCTCTCAAAATATGGTACATGTATACCAGGGGCGTTTCTTGATACTGAAAAGATCAAGGGCTAAGTCAAGTTAACCTGGGCCTTTTCTTTTGAAGGAAGATTGGCATAAAATACACGGGGCTATATTGTCGAGTGATCGGACCTAACGACGCCCATGGGAAAAACCTATTTTCAACTCAAGTTGATCCCCAAAATAAACTTTCCGATTCTCCCAACAACAACACCCTGAAAACAAAATGCAGAACGCTGCTAGGCTGCTATGGCGGTGTTTTCAGAACAGGACACTTCACCGCAGTCAAGCAAATTCAGATGCCGCTTCCCCAATGCACGCATTCCCAGTTCATCCAGGGCTCCTCGCGTACGTGTATGTATGAAATGATGATAAAGTTAACCGACATTAAAATTGCTCTGTCATCACGAGCCAGCTACAAAATGAGCCTAACAGTAATTACATAATTACATTTTTTTGGTAAAATTGTTTGTTTTTTGTACAATCAAGTTAGCCAGTAAAATTGTGCAGATGTCGAAAACGTTACATGCATGCTACTTTTAATTTTTATGTTCTGTGAGAAATTCATTTTGAACATAACGTGCGTGGCATTATTTATGTGCTTAAGAAAAGCTTTACGCTTGGAGATCCAGGCATCAGCACGTCTATTGCTCACGTCCTCATACGTCCCTTCAATTTGTAAAAATAAATTGACTGTATAATACTGGTCTAAACAAGACGTGTTGCAAATAAGAGTAGTTCGTAACTATAAAATATCAATGATGCAATTAAGTTTAGGTTACCCCTCCTCCATCGAAAATCAGCGTCACGAATATTTATCACCGACTTCCTCCTTTAGCTGAAAGGTGACTGACTTCGCCGATGGAGCTTAACTTAAGTCAAAGTGATGCCGCGCAGAAAGCCGAGGGTGTGGCCGCACTAACCCCACCGCCATGCGCTTCTGTAGTTCACTAAAACATCTGGGAATGTCAAAATAGACGCGGCATTTGTGTCATGGGACTTCAGAGGTACAGTTACACGGTCGTTTCGGTTCACACGACATAAAAACATCTAATATAAAGGTAATATTCGCTGGGTATGAAAGCATCAAACGTGAATAAACTCGCAAACTACACAGCGATTTCGTTTGCCAGGATCAGTATAAGACCGCCGCACGATTCGTAATGAATGAGTGAAGCCAAAGTACAGAGGAAAACGTACGTTTGTTTGTTTATACGCAGTTATATCAAAATCATAAAGGACATATTACTGTAACTTAAAACATAAATGACGACTCCCATATCTAGTGCAACAACCCTCATGGAACAAATGGCACTTATCTTTTGTTTAATATGCAAACCTTCCCGTATTACTAGTTCAGTCGCTTTTTTATTATAGAGCCGATTAGAACCGGTCCTTTGGTTATCTAAATCGCATTACCTATACCAGTTTTCCTAAAGACAAGCGACGGGTTCAGTCGGTGCCCAATATTTCAGAGTCACATAAGGACAGCGCAGAAGCCGCCACCGATAATGAAAGATAAACATAATTACACCTTATAGTTATAGGTGCCTATAGCATTAGCAGTTAGCCTAAGTGTTCGCACTATCAATTAATACGTTTACAGCCCCGTGAAACACATGCACGAGCAAAACAAAATTACAAACAAAGCAGCTGCGAATGCAGTTCGAAGTATCCAAACATGTTGGGTTAAATCCAACATGGCAAAGCAGCTAAGCACTTTAGAGTTTAACCGTTGAAGTTGCGCACTTTTATTGTAAATGAACTGAGCGTGGGCTGATCGCTCTCTGCTCCAGACTTGACAGTATCTGGTGACAGCGTCCTCCTGTGTCACTTTAAAGGGCACCGCGCTTTCCGGCCAGTCGGGCTTTCCTGTCCCTGAGTTTGCTGCGCTTTCCCCCCTTTTACTGCATGCAGCCCAGGGGGTTAAGCCGTGTCCCATCCGGAGGACCCTGCGGCGCGTCTCCGGAGCCTCGGCTCACCGACTTCATTTCCCCGAGTTTGTAGAGCTCCCGTCGCAGTAGGAGGATCCGTGTGCGCGGCATGACGTCGCCGGGCGAGTCGGCTCACTCCTCCGCCGTTTAGGCGACTTTCCCTTCGGGGATTTTCAAAGGCACCGACAGTCATTCGCATTAGGGCGAAATGGAAGACAGCCGAGGAAGTCGCTCTGGTGTTTGGGGTCATTCGTGGCGGTAGGTCGGCGTGCTTTGCTAGGTGTCCAGCCGACTGTGCGCTCCGAGCTGTCACAACTCAGACCAGTGTATGCATGGTGAGGCTAGACAGCGCTGGCAGAACTGCAAGAGAAGAGAATTAAAATCACTTATTCCTGGCTTATCGCTTTCCCAGCAAGACAGATACCTGACAAAGTTGGATGTCGTTATTAAGGTAAGGATGCAAAATACTAAACTAAGGTTAACAGTTTTTTTTTTTTTTTTACTTTAAACTGTGACTAAAGGGGGTTTGAGTTGCTTGCAGGCTGAAATGCAGACTTTCTTTTATTATTTTACTTTGAGTAGAAACGGCGTAACCTAGGGAAATGAGAAATTGTTGCCATTTCATATAAACCATCGTTATCAATATTTTGCGTTCTCAGGGATGATAAGAGTTTAAATTACAACGTTGAAAAAAGGGAAACACAAACACTTGTTTTGTATTTTTAATCCTTTTATGTTTTCGACGCACCTTTTCTTGTTCATATTCATAAAAAACGTCGTGGCTTCATTTAACGCTGATGTCGTGCTCTCCCATCTGCGCGTCTGAAATTAAAACAACGTAGCCTTCCGTTTTAGGTCAGTAGTCCTAAATTTCCAGTGGGCTAAGTCATACGAAGTGTATTCAGTGTTACGATGTCCAGCAACTTAGTTTTCTGTTTCCCTCCTGACTGCAATCGACGCCTAAAAATGCTTGTCTTCGACTTATGTCTGGAAATACAGTAAATACACTTATAGTTCACCGACACTGATTTAATCACACTGGTCACTAATTATCTCACTTGTTTTCATGTTACACTTGTGGAAAGCGAGCATTTCTGTTCGAGTTAAATTCATTTTTGTTAACCTGGGGCATAAGCATAGGTTCCGAAAAGAGACGGAAAGTTTGCGATCGTTTAACATATTTATTCTCATATAGCTGCTGTTTCTCTGTGTAGATTGTAAAAGAGATTGTGATTTTAAAATGCAAGTGAGCCAAATTACGCGAATGTCCACGTCAATTATATATAGACGCTACGCTCTTACTTAAAATAACCTATACTAATTATAAAATTCAAGTGTGTAATATGATTATTAAAATACTTATAAGAAGATATCTCCTAATACAAATGATAGCTTTGTGTCAAGTCGAGCGTGCTTTTTGTGGTACAATGGTTTTAAAAAACTTAATTCTTCTGTCCCGTGTCGCCTTAAAAATATAAGAATTTTCTAGGCAATGTCGCAGCAATGTTGTGGCTCTAAAGGCGGCTGATTGACAGATTGCTACAACCAATCCGTGTCTGGAATGACTGTTTGCTTCAGGCAAGATTCATCTCTTGTCCAATGGTTGTGCACTAAAGGCGTGGCTGGGAAGGAACGGTACAAAAACACGTGATGAGTTTTAAGGCTACAGCGCCGTTTTAGGCAAGGTTTTACATAATGAGAGCGAAAGCAAGTGTTGCGCATTTATTAATGTAAAATGACCGGCGATCGCACAGCCTGAGTTAACTAAAACAAAAACTAACCAAAGATGTGAGTTTTTTTTTTCCAGAAACCGAGTCTAAGTGGAAAATGGCATTGTTTTCACACTCCTGATGATCTCATACATAGTCAGTATAATTGCTAATCAGTCAGGGGCCACTTTTGCCTCACGGCTTTGGTGTAGATTTGTTATTAATTTCTGCTTAGAATTCCCGCATTTCTCCGTCACTTCTATTAGAGAGTATATAATCTTTTTTTATCATGTAAAGAAGATATAAATTGTACATCTCTACAGTCTTGAGAAGTCTGTGGTGTTGTTTAATATAGCGGGCTGTTAAGAGTCCGGGGTTTTGGTTTCTTTTAACAATTGCAGTCTCTGTCTTTGGTTAGGTGTATCACTGATCTAGCCATGGAGACCAAAAGATACCAAGGATTCTTTGAAGGAGCCGACAGCGCAAACAGATGGGATCGGAGGTCTAATGCAGCTGAGTACTGCTGCGCCATGCAGGAGGAGAACGGGACCAGTGGTGCTTTACTTATGGATGTGGTGAACATCAGTCCTGCTCCCAGCTCACTAGCAGCTGGCTACATGGAGAACGAGGAGGAAAAGAGGGACCTGTCCTCTCTCTGTCTGGATCAGCAGCACTGTGCTTTCCCACAGTCAGACAGCACGTCCAGCAGTGTGAAGCTGGAGATGGATGCTAAAGAACTTTCCAGGACTGTAGCAGACTCTATGGGCTTGTATATGGATGTGGCAAGGGAGCTAGACTATGGCTTTAGCCAGCAGGGTCTGCAGGGGGGTGGGGTCGATGGTGCAGGGAAGCTGTTTTCCAGCAACCGTCAAAGCCCAGCAGGATGCCAGGGGAGCCCAAAGCTGAAAGCCACAGATTTGTTATGTTCCACATCCTACCCCTCTGCATCGCATCCCTGTAGCATGCTGACTGTAGTTGACTGTTCCTCCGACGAGGCTTTGGCCTCAACTCTCGGTGGTAGCCCACAAACCTTTAACAGTTCCATTTCTAGTCCTACCAATAACAGCTTAGTGTCTTCAAATGCTAGCTGTACTACTTCAGCAAATTCTGCCTCGGCTCTCAGTAGTCCCGTACACCAAGCCTCGTCAACACCCAGTCTTGCCCTCATTAATCGGCAGAGAATTTCCACATCTGGCAGCCCTGCTAGTACGATAAATATGGGATCCCCCCTTGGAAGTCCTGCTAGTCTAATGAGGTCGCCTCTTTCCAGTCCGCAAAGCATGAGATCTTCTGTTTCGAGCCCTATTGGTGGCAGTAGCAATATGCAGACCTCGATCTCGAGTCCGAAAAGCATCGGTACCGCAGCTGTCTCAAGCCCTCCCATCTCTGCAGGGTTCTCCATTGCGGGCTCTGCCAGCGGGTGCCCTCTAATACGGACTGACATTCACAGCCCGGGAAGGACAGACCAAGACTTCAAAGGTTTTGATTTCCCAAAAGTGGAACCGGTTGATGGAGAACAATACAGTGTTGCCCTGGATCAGCTAGGTATGGTGAAGTATATAAAGAATGAGCCGAACACTGACTCAAGGGCAATGTGTCAGAGGGGCAACACAATAAACATGGCTAGCCCGCCTTTTCCCATGCAAATAAAGACTGAACTGAACAGAGACGCCCCTGTGACCCCTAACTACAATGGGCATCAGCATTCTTCAGGTGGTTTCCCGGCCTCAGATACCACTTATTTGTCGTTGAGGGATAATATTGATGCATATAGCCTTTCTGGAATATTAGGACCACCTGTTCCCTCGCTCAACAGCGACTATGAAGCTGAAGTGTTTTCTAACGACATGTTGCCCAAGGGAATTAAACAGGAGTCTAAGGACGACAGCTACCTCCCGGGGAATAGCGACTCACAGACGTCGGCCGTCGTTGGTGTTAATTCAGGTGGACATTCATTTCATTACCAGATCGGAGCGCAAGGAACAATGTCGTTTCCTGGACACGACGCGGGGGATCAGACAAGTCCCCTGCTGAATCTCATTTCCCCTGTTGCCGCGTTGATGGAGAGCTGGAAATCTCGTTCCATCATGGCCCAGGACTCACTGTCGTCCCGAGGAGAGATTTTCCTGGGGCAGCAGTGCATCACAGACGTGTCGAGGTAAGTGTGATTTGTGCATGCAGATTTCCGAGGCTCTGCCTTGGTTCGTTCTGGCGCTCACTGATGGACCGCTGGTCCTGTGGAGATGCATGGCTAATTATGCGCAGAGGTTGACTAATGGATAAATGAGTAAGTATGTACTGTACATCTATTTACTTATATGCACACGTGTGAATATAGAGAGATGAGTCAATGAGTGTAATATGAATGTAAAATATCATATAACTTAACTGAGCAGCTCTTGCTCAGCTATAAATGATTTGCAGATGCCAACATTATCATTTTTCAGATATCAAATAAACATGCTGTAAGAAGGACCCTTAAGGCCTCTTCAGTGTCCCGACATTTTAGTAAAAGCTGCTCTAGCATCATGTGACTTGCACAGATGGTGTTTTTTGTCAGCGTGTTGCAAAGTGTCCAGGGGATTTCGACTAGGGGTCCACACGGCGTATTGAAATGCCGATATTATGATCCGGTTTACACTCAAGTTCGGCACGAAAAATATTCGATGGGGAAACCCCCTCCCCCTGGAAGAGAGAATTATTAAAAGCATTAGTGGTAGGGCCCTAGTTGTGGTCTATTTTCATTTGGGGGTCTCCCGTTAGTAAGGTGGAAAACCCTTCTTGTAGACCATGGAAATGTAACCATGGCAGAACACAAACGCAAATGAACATTGTGATCCTGTTTCCTTCTTTCCTGGGAATGGCTGAACCGGTGAAGTAGCAGACAGAAGGTCTGGATTGTTTCTTTGTTTAGTGGAATGAGCACACACAACAAACAAGTAGGAAGCAGAAACTCTCTGCTGTGCCTTCTTTTGAACTCGGACAGTGGTGATGTCTGATTCGTGAACGAATCGTTCATTTGAATCAGTTCTTTTCAGTGAATTGGTCGAACCGGTTCTCAAATTTAAAAGAATCAAACTTTTCGTTGATCCATGCGTTTTACAGGTACAGGTCTTAGAATCTAAAAATCTGAACATATTTGACACATTGACACAGCAAAACTGCACATACATTTGCTTTCCTTAGACTCTCTGTGGCCGTGTTGCATTCAGTGCCCCTCCGCATACCGTAATCGTTTGTGTTTGTACCGTGTCCGTGCCCGGCCGCATGGTGGCTGCGGCTTACTGACTCCTGACTCGGCAATCGACACATTAGCGGGTTCAACACATTCGCCGATTCACTGTGACTCTGGGTAGTTTGGCATTTTGGCGAGTTCGGTTCAACAGATTTCTCAGCAAATCTCATGAGACCGAAAACTCGTGTCGGAAGGTTGCTTGAGAGTTAAGAGTTTCGGTTAGTTAATGTGCTGACCCCAATAGGTCTTGTCAACAGCGTTTGTTGTTTTCTGTATGCTGTGTGTCTGTATATTTTAATAAAATAAGATTTTTAATAAACATGCAGTTTCAATAAAAGTTATCTAAGATAGTGCAGCAGCATGTGCTACCAACCCCATCACCCGATTCTTTGAATCGAACGTTAGATTCCTTTAAATGTACATTTTGGTGGAATCGGTTCTGTTGATTGAACCGAACTTCTCATCACTACTGGGCAGGGACATGCCTGCGGAATGAGGGAAGACTGTCTCGAATCAAGTGTTCAGGCACTAAATAGCGTCTCTGAATGAAAAAAAGGCTTTGGCTGCATTTCCAAGGTTTGGCAGCGTGAACCAGGAAGCGGGACTGGAAAGATTAACTTCCTTTTTGTTTCAGTTTTGGCACAAGTGTAATTCTATAGCGGAATTGTTAACGTGTATAAGAATATAATCCTTTAGCAGAATCAGTGCATAACTTGGTGTTTTGTTTTAGGGGCATATGAGTCCACTTACAACTTTAATGTTGATTCACATGTATCAGTCTAATTCTGCAGCCTCAAGAAGAGACATCATCGATTTGAGAAAAAAATTCTGTTTATTGTATTTTTTTGCTGTTTTATCTATGCACTGGCGTCATGACGTGCTTATCTGTTCAGATAAGCGGGATGCTGGATCAGGTAACAATGCTGTGGGCTATTAGCAGCCTCCTACGTGTTGCACTCTCATTAATTTGGGCTCAGTGCTGTCCTTTGGACCCTTTGTGTGCCAAAACCGTTTCCCTGATCATTCTCAGATCGACATGGACCCTTCTGGAACTTTTTAGTGTTTAGTTGTTAATTTGTTGCATGATTTTCATTATGGTTCTTTTACTAACATTAATAATATTTGAAATCTGAATGTAAGCAAATGAATGTGTTTATTTGACATACTGGTTAAATTGCTTTCCATCCCTTTATCAAGTGCTCTGCCTTTTCAGCCTGACAAAAGTTGCTTCCAGGCACTGCAGCACATGCGTAAATCAACATTACATCACGCGCCTACAATGTCTGAAAATGTTTGCATGTTAACGTGGTTTATCGTAAACGTTATTTATATTTTGTTGATATTTGTGTTTATTACAAGCAATTGAGGTGTTAATATATTGTCTGTACTCTGACGGAGTTCAAACTCCATGAATATGGGACCAGATTTTACCATTAAACTCTATGGTGCATGTGTATTTGTTTTCTTTTTTGAGACTACTTTAAATTGTGGTCTTTGTTTTAATTAAAGTAAAATATTAAATTTCCATAACAACTAGCATAATTTCTGTTTGTTTTACCTGGAACTAAACTTGTTTGACATTACATTCTGGTATTACGTTTATCCACACACACACATATTCATATATATATATAACTACTACCCCACGGAAAACTATAGGTAGCAGTTTCTGGTGTCGAAAAAATTAGTTGTAGAAAACTGCCACGCCCATTTAAAGTACAAGATAGTTATTTTGATATCATAAATCTTAAAAATTATGGGTAGAATATTCTGGCAAAGTAGCAAAAACCGACAGATAAAACTGAAAATTTCTGCTACGGTAGCAAATTCTTGCAAAGGCAGGAATGGCTACGCTGAACGTCCCGAGCTGGCGGCGCGTTAGGGCTGCCGGTTACTCTGGAGCGGCCGCGCCGAACGCCCCGAGCTGGCGGCGCGTTAGGGCTGCCGGTTACTCTGCAGCGGCCGCGCTGAACGCCCCGAGTTGGCGGCGCGTTACTCTGAAGAGGCCTGAATAATGGAGCAGCACCATAAATAAATCAAGTTGTACATTTATGTATATTACTGAAATATTCATGCTGTGCTTCAAGCCCGCTGCCTCGTACCCGTACGCAGATACAATAGCTGATAAAGTGACCCATATATATATGAATTGTCTGATAAACCTTGATTTTATATTTAAAATCTGGCTTGTGGGCTGATATGTAACTCATATTCTGTTACACGTAGGTTATAATAGGCCACGAACAGATTTTCATAGCATTATAATTAGCACATGGCACAGTGGCTCAGTGGGTAGCACTGTTGCTTCACACCCCCAGGGTTGGGGGTTCAGGTCTCAGCCCTGCTCTGTGTCTCTGTCTCTGCATGTGTGTGTGTGGTGTTTGCTCTCTCCATACCGGTTTCCTCCTGAGGTCTGAAACCATACTGCTAGGTGAATTAGCATCCACACATTGCCTTCTGGGCTCAACACAACCCCGTCCTGGAACATGGATATAATTAGCACATGATCAGCTGATGTCGTTAAGGTTGGTGGGTGGGTGTGTCGGATGAAGGTGGGGGGGGGGGGTTCCGTGTGGCACCTGTAGGTCCGGCTGCTGAGTCACGCGGCTGGACCGTGCGCCGGATTCGTACATATTCTCAGTTACAAGCGCTGGCTCCAGGCCCGTTGCTCTGGTGATGAACTATAATTACTGAGGGAAGAAAACACCAAATAGCTTAACCTGGAGCAGCGCTCCGGGCCTTCTGCACCTCGCGGGAGTGGGCCTGCCCTATCGGGAGGTGCTGGAGGTTTGACAGGAAGCTCTGGGTCTTCTGCACCTCGCGGGAGTGG